GCGGGGGCAGTGGGGGGGCCCGCCGAGCTGGGGGTAACTTTTAATTGAAACGAGGGAACGAATAGAGCCCTGCATGGGCCCGGCCCTTGTCCAACAACTTATGAGAATTCTTGGCCAGAGTCCGACTGGATACCTTGTCTTTTTTCTCTCTCTCTTTCCTATTACACAACTATTAAAATAGTTCAATTTTGGTCTTTAATGGAAAAGTGGTCATATTTCTTTTTGTTTCTTTATTAAGTTAATTTAGAAATATGTTTGGAACATTTTATGTTTGTTAAATTCAAGTTTTTGTTTTTTAAAGGAATGACCAAGCGGCAGCGGCAGACAGGATTGATCGATTCATGAGACATTCGTTTGTATTAAATTGTTCAGATTTTTTCAACATGCATTCAAATATTCATGTTTATTTCGTGCTGCAAATATTAAAGAGGAAAATATTATTGATTCATATGCAGCTTGAACTCAGGCGAATTATCGCACTACAAATTAAAGAGCGTAAAAAGACGTTTATTGTTTGTATTTTATCATAAAATTGACAGAAGGCTGAGACTTTGTAGTAACAAAGCACAAAGCTGCGATTATTGAGTGACTTGCGTGCTACAAATAATGAATGGACTTGAAAACTTTAATCATTTCCAAGCATTAGCCTATACCATAAATAAAACAGCTTGTGAATAGTCACGATTCACGTAACGTTATTTACTTCAGAAAAATCAACAATAGGGCCTAAGTTAAGTTAACCGAGTTGGAGCCCATAATGTTTGGGGGGGCCCGTACACTTTTTTTGCATATGGGACCGAGGCTTACTAGCTACGCCACTGGTCCCAGCTTAACTGGTAAACTGTAAACAGACAGTAAGAATTTTAACCAATTATCCTAATTCAGTTAAACCAGGAGTGGTCAACGTTGGTCGAGAGCCACAGTGACTTCAGCTCCATCCCTAATCAAACAAAGCCAATCAAGGTCTAGATAGCCAGGCAGGTGAGTTTTTATCAAGGTTGGAGCTAAAGTCTGCAGGGCTGTGTGGGTTCTCCAGGACCGACGTTGGACAACCCTGGGTTAAATGATTTTAAAATGCATTGTTTATTACAATGGTCACTACAGGACTAACAGAAACATTCTGACCTCAACACACTAAAAGGCCGTCACCATCGACTGGAGCAGATTCTTTGACAGTCAGAGAGGAGCACACACCTAATGACTGAGTCAGTCTACACACTTAACGACAGGTGCGTCACGACTGGACAAATTCTGCCGAACCACAAAAAAAAAACTCACAAAACCAGCGTGCTCCCACAGCTGCACCCGCACCACCAAATACAACACTGTAGACAACACGATGCTTTTAGCTATTGAAATGTTAAGGTTTGTTTTACTTTTTTAGTTTGTGTTGGTGTTCCTAATAAATGTCACAGCAATGTGTCTTGAATAGCCTATGTTTTGCATTAAGTCTATTATAACATTTCTAGTGTTATAATAATATATTATCTCATGTATGTCTAAAATCAGGGCTTAAAAATGAATTGGTTTTAAGTAAAAACGATAGGCTTTTTTTCCCCGTTACATTTCCCTAGTTACAGGTTAGAACGAAATAAAACATTACTTAATGAATTCAAGGCACTGAAATTTCCTTATCCATTTGACCTAAAACTATTTTATATATACAGTCTGTACGGAAAGTATTCAGACCCCCTTAAATTTTTCACTCTTTGTTATATTGCAGCCATTT